AAAAAAAAAAAAAAAAAAAAACACATCATAGTAAAATTAATACCTTCTCCGCTTCGCATCGAAGCTAAAATTAATTTTATTAAATATTAAAATTGTTTACATATTACAAGCAATATTTTTAATAAATGTTTATTTGTTTAATGAATTAATTCAAAACGATTTTTTCGGTGTTATATTGTATTTCTTTAATTGACAATGAAACCATAGTTTTAATAATTTGTTTATTTTATCATTAAAGAAAAATTCTTAATTATTTTTCATCAAATAATAACCTGAAAAAAAGAGTAATTAAAAATATTTTTGTGATAATGATTTGATTCAAAATAATTATACACTACTTCATCAAAGACTTACAAAAGCTATTTTTAATGGTGGAAAGTTAAATTTAAAAAATCTTTCTTAATTTGATTATCCTAACCTTTATTAGTTCATTATAATTTTAGTCATGAAATTAAAATTGTAATTTATCATAAACCATTGGTGGCTAAAACATTTTATTTAGGAAAAGACAGCGCCTTCCTTTTAATATATCTATTGAGTTGACATAACTTATAATTGAAAATAATTTTTTTATTACTTTCTGGGTCTGTTTAAATATAGAAGACAAGTTATCAGCATAATTTTTGTTTTTAACTTAAAGAATGTAATATTAGCTTTAATTTAATATATGTTTAAAGTTCGGAACAAATCCGGAACATTTTCAAAAGTAAACTTGAAAAAGTTGTACTTTTTGTACGTATGTTTCAAATTTTAAGCTCCCTGCATAAGTTTAATGGTCCGATTTTTTTTTGAAAAGTATGTAGGATAAAAGGGGTATGTATAAAATATTCATAAATAACTGTAATAATCTATACATTTTTATAGCAATTTAAATCTGAAAATATAAAATCGTAAATTTAACACAAAAATACGTCAGATTAGTTGGTATAATGAAAAAAGACTTTTTTACATTTTAATAAAATTTACCTGACTTGTTTTTTTCTATTACATTGCAACGTAGCCTATCATTAAATGCATAAAAACCGGACATTAATATTATGTAATGAAAAATATTATGATAGTCTTCTTTATAATAACTTAAATTTTGTACATATGATTGAACTTCTTTAATTTTATTGTTTAGTCGTATTATTACTTCATTGCATTCATCTTTATTATAAAATTGAATATTTTTCACTATATTATCAAACATCAATAAATTAATTCTCATTACATCAGTACACCTGATATGAAGTTCATCAATCCATGTGAGTTTTAGATTACCAATATTATCAGAACATATCTTTTTAAAATGCATTGAAGTGGCTTCTAAATGACTTTGCATATTTTTAGGAAATATTTTCAAGTCTACTAAATTTTCAATGATTTTTTTAATTGATTCGTTCATAAGATTTAATTGGGATTCAAATACATTAGATCTAGTTTCAATTTCATAGAAATCCACATCGGCACTAAAATATATTTTTTTCAGTAAATTAGCTAATGTACGTATTAAAGAGTACACAGGGTGAATTGTCGCAGCTAGAATTTGTTGCTGATATGAATAAACACACTCTACGTTAAAATCACGTTGTATTATCTCATATAATGTAGTTATATTTGCTGTTTGTCCTTTCTTTAGTTTTACACTTATGGTAACGTTCCTTAGTAAGTCCATAGGGTCTGAACTACCAGTTAATAAATCAATCTCATTAGTGGGTCTTTTATCTTGAAATAAGCCTGATAGTAAAATACTCTTGGGATGTAAGCGATTTTGTATTTTGTCTACTGGATGGAAATTTCGTTCTGGTTTTTCCATTATTACACGTTTAAACTCAACTTGGGCTTCATCCAACTTTTTCAACGTTTCCAATTTTTCCAATTTACTATTTACAATGTGTTTTTTATTGTAATCTGATACTTTTGGTAATAATTTAATTAAATAATCAAATTTTGGATGTTTGTCATCAAATCTAGGGTCATAACAGAAATCTTGTGAATTAAAATAATTCGTTTCATCATTTTTACAATCATGTATAAGGCTGTGTCTCAGATAATGAGTTATATAATGGGTATTTTTTCGAAATTCTCTTATAAAAAGTCTGTACCCTGTTAACTTTTTTTCTGTCTTTCTCAATTCCACATATGTATAGAATCTTAAAGTGTTATAAATATTATTTAAATATAAATTTAATGCAATCAATCCATATGCGAAGGAATATGGATTAAAACGCCTTTGCAAATTTGAAACTTCGATATCATTTTTATAATCATAATATATATTTTCCAACAAAGTTAAAACAACTTCTCTCATATTTTTTATTTCGTTTTCAAATTCTTCAATTATACTAACAGGAATTGGATTTTTCGATTCAATTTTTTTCAAATAAATTACTTTTGTTTCGAGATAATAAAGCATATGCTTAGAATAGTAACAGTTGAGTTTACTATCACTTAAAACAAAATTATTCAAATTTAGAGATAATATAAAACTAACAATGAGTATTTTAATTAACATGTTAACACCAGAAAATACGAACAAAATTAAACTAAAAAGATTAATAGTAATATAATTGAGAACTGATATTTTTTTTCTTAATTATAGCATTTATAGAAATTTGTAATATAAATAATTGTTTTTTATGTACACAGAAACTATTTAGCTTAACAATGCAAACATTGTACTTTTTTAAAACTACTAATTTTAGCTGTTTTATATACTTAAATTTAAAATAACTTTTAAATTGCAGTAATATTTTAAATTAAGCTATCTGTTTAAACAACTTAATATTTTGAGTACCCTTTATAAATTTAGTGAATATTTCAACCCGCATTTTAATATTATTTTTTGACAATATGAGAAACATCTTACAAAAAATTATTTGGTAAATGTTACTTTCTTGTAGATTAATGGTATTATATTTTTTGTGAACTGTTTTATTGGCTGTCATAGTTCAAATAATTTTAACTGCTATTTTAGTATAATTAAATAAATAACTAAAATACATAACATCTGACAGCACTTAAATTCCACAGCAAAAATACAAAATACATCATTTTTATTCTTTTAATTGAATTTAAGAATAAAAGTATATTTGATTTTAAAAAATGTAAGTGTTATGATTTTTGTCGAATTATTAAATTTTTTCCTCCCATGAAAGCGTTTGTATTATCTAAATGATGTGAAAACAATAGTTTAGTACTTTTAGAATTCTCAAAACCTTTTTCATACAAATTTATAATTATAGCATAAACTTGAATAATAAAATAATAGAAAAATGTTCAGTTTTAACCTTTTTATAACTTCTGTAAAGGTCATATTAATGTTATAACTTTTTGAATTTATTCAACATTTGAACAAATTGACATTAAGGTGCCACATACAAAATCAAGAGGTATTAGAGATAACATGTTTTATTATTTATTTTTATATAATTTTACATAAAAATAGTAGTTTTAGAAATACTTATATTGTAGCTTACATATTGACAGTAGAGAAAAATTATAGAAATTACATGAGTAAGTACCCAAAAACTTATTGAAATCAAAAATAAAATATACACGAACATTTCATAACCTAAAGTTTTTCAAGTTATGTTATAAAATGTATTTTATTATGAATATTATATTATATTGCAGTTATCTTAATTATTTTTTGACAATTAGTTCATTTTTTCCATCAAGTGATAAACTAAAACATAATAAAAATACATATTTTAAAAATGTTTATATTAAGATGTTTATTTAGTAATTATAAACAATTGTAATAGGAGTCATAGCAATAATTAAAACTTATTTTTATCAAAAATTTGTGTAAATCATAAACCATTGAATATAAATGAAAATCTGTGGCTTATATTCATAAGATGAATAGTCAAAAAAAATATCAAGTTCAAAAACTCTACAATAATATATAGTCAAACCATTATTTTTTTCGTCCCTTCAAGGATAAAAACCCTTATTTTTAATTTTATGATATGATAGAAAAAAAAAAATTACAAACAATTTTGTTCTTGAAATTTTTTTTTATCTGATTAATCGTTTGTCCGTTACAGTTAATTAGTTAAGTTGTTATAGTTGAGTTGTTATAGTTAAGTGATTTTGGACCAAATGTCTATTGTCTTTTTATGTATTAAATACAGAAGTCATTATTTTTATGTGCTGTTGCATTAAACAAATTTTATTGATCATGTTATGACATGTAAATTAGCTATAATAATTTACTGCGCACTAAATAAGTGATAATAATAATAGATTCAAACCGGGTCTTCGGTGTATTATTAATAGCTAAGTGTATGGTTTTGTAAGATAAAGATCTAACAAAAATACCGGTTGCACTGATACTGATATTATTAAACGTAATAAACGACAATATTTTTTGTGGAAGTCAAAATCTTTAAACAATTATAAAACGTAAACAGTTGTTCGTATAAAAAAAATTATAAAAATAAAATTGTTTGTAATTTTTTTTTATCATATTTCAAATCAAAAATAGTGGTTCCCATTTAAAAAAATTATAAATAAACATTTTTATCCCTGAAGGGATAAAAAAAAAATTTATTTAACTTCATATTATTGTAGAGATTTATAAACTTAATCATTTTTCTTTTTACAAAAATTTTAAATTCTCAATAGTTTCTTATAATAGTATCTTACCAGATATCGATCACCCTGTATAGTTATATATTAAAAATTGAAATACATACCGTACTTATGTTTTTTTACAATGTCACATTTTAATCTACTAGTGAATATAAAATCACTGGCAAATAGTTGTTTCGGAAAAAATATATTGTTATATTCGTATTTATAATGAATTAAATTTTCAACATATAATTGAATTTCTTTGATTTTATTTTCCAATCTACTTATTATTTTTTTACAATCTTCTTTATTATATATTTCAGGGAAATTTACATCAATTCCAAATTTTAATAGATGGATATTCATTGTATTGGCACATATAGTATAAAGTTGATCAACCTGTTCATCATTTAAATTACTCACACAAAGTGTATCAGGAAAATATTCTATTATACTAACACGCGTTAAGGTAATTTCGAGATCTAATTGCACATTTTCCGGGAACAATTTATAACTAATTAAAGTTTTTATTACTTCCTGTATTGATTTGTTCAGGAGACCTAATTCAGCTTTAAATATATTAGCTCGATTTTTGATTTCACTGTTAGCATTTGATTTACTATAAAAAATTTTTTTCAATAATTGTGTAAATGTACCAATCCAGCAGTATACAGGATGAATTGTAGCTGCTATAATTTGTCTTTGATATGCGATAAAACAATTTATATCAATATCGTATTGTATCATTTCATATAATGTTGTAATGTTAGCGTAATTTCCATTTTCTAATTTTGCATTTAAGGTTACACTTCGAAATAAATCCATAGGGTCAGGACTACCAGTTAATAAATCTATCCCATTGGGAGTTCTTTTATCTTTAAATAAGCCTGATAGTAAAATATTAGTCGGATGTAAGCGATGTTGCATCATTTTTTCAGTTTCACTATCCCGTTTTGGTTTTATTTTTAAATAATACCGCAGATCAATTATGGAGTTGTCTAATATTTTCATTGTCTGCATTTTATTCAAATTATTATCAACAATTTCTTTTTCATTGTAATATTCAAATATTAAACGTTTAGGTAACAATTGATTTAAATAATTAAATTCTAGATTCTGATAATTTTTATCATAGTAAAAAGCTTCCCAATTAAAATCAAAAGGTTTTATACCCAAACAATCAAGGTAAATGCTATTTCTTAAACTTCTAATAATAATAGGGCAATTTTGTTTAAATCGTTTTATAAAAAAGTGAGTTTCTTCTAATTTTTTTTTATGATAGTTTAATTGGCTATGTGATCTAAGCTTTAAGTTTTCAGAAAAATTATTTAAATACAAATTTAATGCTAACAAACCATCTACTTTGTTGTATGGATTATACCTTTTCTTTGTATGTTCATATAACATTTTAGTTTTATTTTCAAAGTCATAATAGAGATTTTCAAGCATACTTAATACGACTTCGCCCATTGATTTGAGTTCATCTTCAAATTCTTCGATTTTACCAACATCGAGTGGTTTTTTTGATTCGACTTTTTTAAAATAGATTTCTTTGGTATTCATGTAATAAAGCATATACTTAGAGTATAAACAGTGGAGGTTGATTTTAGTTGAAAGAATATAATTGAAATTTATAGCTGTAATAAAATTTACAATTAAAATATAGACTAACATTTTAGTGTAGATAAAAAAGTGAATATTTAACGAATTAAAATTTTTTTAGTTAATGTTTAACTTCAAATTTAAAACAGTTTTTATACAAATGGTTTATATTGATTTTATTTTTATGTGTATAAACATCATATTTTATAAATAAAATTACACATTTTTCTTCTTATTAATAGTATTTGCTAATAAATTTTTTAATTTGTTTTCCACGAAACACTTTTAAGAAAAATTATTTTATTTTTAACTGATCAATTTAACAGGCATTACCTTAACAATTAAAAATGTAAAAATATTTTTTTATTTGTNTAACAATTAAAAATGTAAAAATATTTTTATAATTGTATCATTTTTTCCATCAAGTTATAAACTGAAACAAAATAAAAATATGTATTTTAAAAATTTTTATATAGCAATTATAAAAAATATAATAGGAGTTAAAACAATTACTTTAACCTATTTTTAGTAAAAATTTGTGTAATCACGCATATTTGAAAATAAATAAAAATCTGTGGCTTTTATTTAAAAGATGATAATTCATTTTGTACAACAATCGTGTCATATGCTTTAATTACATCTCGATGTAACATATAAATTACCTTCTAAATAATAATTATTAATTATGCATAATTGCATGTCAACATAAAAAAAACCCAGCACAGTGGTGACGTGGCATAGTTGGATCAAGTATAATGATATCTGACAGTGATTAAAATCACTATCAAAAAAAAACGCTTCGATGCAAATCTTTAGATAGTGTTTAATTTTAAAAAATTGGTGGATTATTCCAAAAGCTTCATAAACTGCTAGTTCCTTATTAATATCCTGATTAAGACAAAGTATGTCGAATAAAAAAGAGATTATTAGAAAATAGTATTTCCCATAAAAAAATTATATTGATCAATACACTTTTCAATAAGTTATAGCATTATAATGTTAAAAATGTAAAAATTAAAATTGAGAATTTTCACACAATAATAGCATTTGGTAGCCATTTTCACCGTGAAGATAAAATAAAGTCTGAAATATTTTTTTGCATATTAAAGTACATTACATTAGCTTTAATTTAAGATATATATAAAAGTGTCAGACTTCCCGGAACATTTTCAAATGTCAAGTTGATAAAATTAATTTTTTGTGAAAAAGTTGTCATTTTAAATCTCCCTCTGTGGGCAGGTAAAGGGATAGATATAAAAAAAATATATACCAAATGATAGTCAAAGACATCATGCATCTAAAAAAAAAAAATTATATTAATTCGGTTATTTTTAAAAAAGTTGTGTAATAATATTACACATTTATATAAAAAAGAATTATATTGATATGTTCATTTTTGAAAAAGTTATGGCAATTTTAAGTAAAAAAAAATGAAAAAATTGAAAAAATTAGCGATTTTTAAATTTGTAATTTTTTTGGAGGTTTCCCCTTTTTACGGGGAACGAGGGAATTTTTTTCAATTTTTAAGGGTAATGTCTTCGACTAGATACGATTT